TGGCATGCCTATACCCATCACAAAAACCTTCAAGGGAATTCCACAATCTCTAGAGCAACTATAACGTTTGGTCTTAGCACCAAATGCTTTTAGGGGCTGTTTGACAGTTGCTGAATGGTTTAGTGCAATATGATTAAGTGGTCAGAATGATTAAGAAACTCTGTATGATTTAGTGTCAGATAGAAAAAGGTTGTTTAGAAACTGTTCTGAATCAACTGTCTGAATGACATAAAATTACCATTTTACCCTCAGTCTTATGTTTAATAAAAATTAACGTTTAACAACAATTCTGAAGGAAATTTCTAAATAAAAAATAAAAAATAATTAATGGTCCACCATATAATTCTTATACCCAACAAACACATTCTTTATCCACCATATAATTCTAATACCCAACCTCTTGTTTTTGATAAATGTGAAGTCCATTCCAAGCACCCCACCTCCAATGTCATCAATATTATAATATCACTCAAATTGTACCAAAACCGTGGAAGGGAATACATAAAACCATGGATTATTTTAATTCCAAATTGTCGTCTCAAAAATGGTTTCTCCATCAACCTAGAAGAAGCATCTGCAGGTTTGTTAAAATGCTTTTTCTATTTAGAAGGCTTCATGAGGTTTTCTTTTTCTTCTCCCTTTTGTTTTCAACGATGGTGGAGTTGTGCCAAGCTTTACAGCTACAACATTAATAGAGATTCAGAGAGGATCAAACAAGGTACGCTTGTCTAGGGTTTATGATTCAGAAGAAGGGTGAGACCAAGAATGAACGAGAAGAAGGTTCTGCTGGTGCCTTTCCTTTCCTACAACCGATCGATAGAACAGAGGGTCAGACCTGGAACGATGATTAGAGAAAAAATAGGGAGGGCAAAGCTGTCAAAATTTCACATCTGAATCGTATGGAGGGCATGTGGGTGAAGGAGCGATTCAGATCTAAACTTATCATTCAGACTTTTTAAAAACCTATCCAAACAATAAGATGTCTGACCGAATCAGACTCTCACCTCTTAATGGTATCATTAAGAGGTAAACAAACAGCCCCTAGTATTCTCAACCACAATACCAAAAGTAATATCAAAAAATACATCTTTAATATTTTAAAAAATATTTTTATATCTGTACTACTATAATAAAATCAAGTTTATAAAACACTGTTTTATAGAATCAAACAATTATGCGTCATATGTAAAAACGTTACAATAAGTTCATATGATCTTTTTGTCCGTCTTAACAAGTTTGTTTGAATAGATTGTTGGAATAATGTGAACCATTAATTTTTTCTGTGACATTATTTGAAAAGTTGTTTTATATAAACAAATATCCTATAAAAAGTGTCAATAAAAAACTAATACAACATTTTATTTTAAAAATGTTCTGAAAAACTTGTTAAAAATGCTAAAAAATATGCTATAAGTTTTATGCAACAATTTTATATAATAGGTACAATTGTGTGTTATTATAAACTTATGTAATATAGAATTAGTGGTGGCAAAAAATGACCCAACTCGTTGACCAAATCCGAACTCAACCCAAAATTAACAGGTTGAGTTGAGATTTTCAACCCATTTAAATAAATGGGTCAACCCGCCTAACCCATTTAAATAATTAGGTTGGGTTGGGTTGAATTCTTCAACCTGTTTTCAACTCATTTAAAATATTATATAATTTTATTTTATTCTTAATATTATATCTACTATTCTAATTTTTAATTTTTTTTATTCTTAATTAAAAATCCTACCATCGTTAGATGTTAGATGGAATTAAAACAATCCACGGTTTTATGTATTCCCTCTCACGGTTTTGGTACAATTTGAGTAATATTATAATATTGATGACATTGGAGGTGGGGTGCTTGGAATGGACTTCACATTTACCAAAAACAAGAGGTTGGGTATTAAAATTATATGGTGGATAAAGAATGTGTATTTATCTTTTTGTTGGGTATAAGAATTATATGGTGGATYATTAACTATTTTTTATTTTTTATTTAGAAATTTCTTTCAGAATTGTTGTTAAACGTTAATTTTTATTAAACATAAGACTGAGGGTAAAATGGTAATTTTATGTCATTCAGACAGTTGATTCAGAACAGTTTCCAAACAACCTTTTTCTATCTGACACTAAATCATACAGAGTCTCTTAATCATTCTGACCACTTAATCATACTGCACTAAACCATTCAGCAACTGCCAAACAGCCCCTTAATCATCATGAAACCCTAAGAAAACTCTTTAGTCCATTACTCCATTATCGTCTCCAAAGTCCAATCCAACTTATTTTGAACAATATATTTGTTGTGGTTGTGTTTTATTCAAACATTGAACAATTTATTTGTGGTTGTGTTTTATTCAGAAAAATAATAATTAAATAGTCTAGTCTTTTTTTATTTAAAATTTTAAAATTAAATTTTATTTAACAAGTTGGGTTAAAAAATCGTAAACAGGTCAACCTACTGTCATCCCATTTAGGTAACAGGTTGAGTTGAGTTGAAAAATCTCAACCCATTTAATTAAATGGGTTGAGTTGAGATTTTCAACTTGTTTAATAAATAGGTTGAACCCAAACCCAACTCAACCTGATCCATTGTCATCCTTATATAGAACAATATATTAAAATAATTAAATAAATGTGATTTAATCGACAAAAAACCAATATGGTAATTTTCAAAATACATATGATTAAAGAAATATTTTTCTTTTCTTTTATAAATGATAAACTGTAGTGAATGATTTTCATAAAATATTTAATTTAAGTATTAATTTTTTAAAAATAATATTAATTAATTGAAATATTTTTTAATCATATTATACCTAACGGTTGTTTATAATCATGAACAAAAATTTGTATTTGAGTTCACAAATTAAAGCTGGTACTATTATATATATAATTAAATTAAAGTTTTATTAATTAACGTGAACGGTTAATTAAAATAATCAATTAATATATTTTTTTTAAAATTCGTAATTGATTAAAAAAATTAAATATATAAAATTAATTTTGAGATTGAATTTATATAAATTAAGTATTAATGGTTTGTTTTAATATATTGTAAAATAATCTATACTATATTATAAAATATTTGACAAAAATTCTTAAAAATCATTTTTTATGCATGAAATACTGTTGACTAATGCATAATTAAAATCACTACAACAGAATTGAGTTTCTAGGACACCCCAATCTCTAAGCGTCCCAATAGACCGTTTTATAGGTGTTGTAATAAGTTTATATGACGTTTTTGGGCGTCTTAACAAGTTTTTTAGGACATTTTTAATACAAAGTGTCGCATTAACAACTTTATATGACATTTTTGAGAAAGTGTTCTATAAACTCAATTTTTTATAGGACATTTGTTTTAATAGGACATTTTTTCAAATAGTGTCCTATAAAGTTGCTAATAGGACGTTTTATATTAAAAGTGTCCTAAAAACTTATTACGACAACAAAAAACGCCATATAAACTTATTATACGCCTTTAGATAGGACGTTTTATTTTTTTGGTCCTATAAACTAAGTCTTATAAAGATTTCTATTAAAATGCTTAGAAATTGAGAGTGTCCTATAAACCTGATTTTGTTATAGTTAATTTAAGAGTATAAGTAAATTGTGTGTAAGTACAACTTATTAAATTCGTATAACTAACCATATATAAACATAATCAAATACAAGATAAATATTTCATTTTAAATATTAAAATTTTAAAATATAATTAACATAATCATTGAGTTCTAACAGAATCATTATCTTTATAAAAATTATATTGTTAAGCCTTAAATAAATTACTTCGTTATTAAATCTAAATTAAATTATAATAAAAAATTAAATAAAATAAATTGTACAAAAAACGAAACTTTTTAAATATTTAATTTGATATTAATATCGATATATGTTTTCAAGTTTTTATAACATCTTCAAATTTATTTTTATTCAAAAGTAAAAACATTATCTTTATAAAAACCACATAAACCATCAATAAAGACAAAGAGTAAATTAAAACAATAAAATAAAGATATATCTCGTTGTATTATGTAAATACCAAATTTGAAAAAGAATCTCGATGTTTTATCGTTGTCTATAACGTGTTCAAATAAAAAACTTGAATTTCTTTTTTTATATTAGACGTCAATATCAGTGCCGTCCAACAAATCATACAAAATTTAGTATTAAACGCATTTCTTGGTTTGTGTTTTCGTATTTTTTTTATTTTAGATTTACTTTTTAAGGTATTTATTTTGTTTTGATCGATGATCTTTTTTGACTGAATATTATCTATTATTTTATCTTTTTCCATATAAAACAATAAAAACAAATATTTTTATAAACACGAATATATTCGAACATATATATATATATATATATATATATATATATATATATATATATATAGAGGGGGTTGAGTTTACGTGAGATCAAAAGTTTTTCGTGAGACCCGTAAGATCAAACTATATTTATTGATTAACTTTATAACCTAATGATCTAATGGTCCAAAGTTGCACGGTGATAATTTTGTCATTATTGAGAAGTCTCGTAGCAATTTTGTAATTATGAATGTTCAGATTGTAGATCTAATCCAAGGGTTGAGAATTGGTTTCACGGGTCTAACGAAAAACCTTTGGTCTCACATGATCCCATAGACTTGGGATCACGTGAGACCAAAGATTTTTCGTTAGACCCGTGAGACCAATTCTCAACCCTTGGATGAGATCTACAATATGACAATCTGAACATTCATAAACGTCACGAGACTTCTCAATAATCACAAAATTGCCACCGTACAACTTTAGACTATTAGATCATTAGCTTATAAAGTTGATCAATGAATATAAATTGGTCTTACAGGTCTCACGAGAACCCAACCCCTAATATATAATATATATATATATACATATATATATATATATATATATATATACACACACGCACTAATCACAGAAAAAACGAAGTGTATTGGTTTTCTACAAATATGCGTGCACAACTTGAAACTTGAATCAATGACAATAATGGCTGATTACCAGAGCTACCTTATTCTCTTTCTCACAGGTGCTCTAACCTCCATCTTCATAATATTCAGATTAAGTCGACCTAAATCTCATCTCCCTCCCACCCCATTTGCATTTCCCATCATCGGACATCTCCACCTCCTTTCTCCAACCCCTCATCGAGCTTTTCACAACCTTTCTCTCCAATATGGCCCAATTTTTCGTCTCTTTCTGGGCTCCATGCCCTGTGTTGTTGCTACTTCATCACAAACAGCCAAAGAACTGTTCAAAACATACGATGACGTTTTCTTAGACAGACCTCACAATTCATCCATGGATTACATCTCTTATGGGGGCAAAGGCTTCATCTTTGCTCCTTATGGATCTTACTGGAAGTTCTTGAAGAAGACAGTCATGTCTGAACTCCTTAACGGTAAAACCCTCGACTCCCTCCTTCCGGTCAGACACGACGAAACCAATCGTTTCATAGAATGTTTATCACAAAAGGCGAAAGTCGGGGAGTCTGTGGAACTCAAAAGGGAACTTATGAAGGTGACAAACAATGTGATATCAAGAATGGTTATGAGCAAGAGGTGTTCAGACGATCAAGAAGGCGATGCGGTGGACATACGGAAGATCGTGATCGATATAGCGAAGGTTATGGGTACGTTTAACCTTTCGGATAACGTATGGTTGTGTAAGAATCTAGACTTGCAAGGAAACGGAAAGAAGTGCGAAGCGATTCGTGCAAGATTCGATGGGTTGATAGAGAAGATCATGAGGGAGCATGAAGAGGCAAGAGAGCTGAATGAAGAGAGTGGACAAGTAAAGGACTTGCTCAGCATCTTAATTGATATCTCAGAAGATGAAAACATGGAGATGAAGCTCACCAAAGAAAACATTAAAGCCTTCATTCTGGTATAAACCTAGTACATCATATTTCTTAACCTGTTTTTAATGTCGGTGTTTGCAACTGTCACTACAACAAAATTGGGTTTATAGGTCATAATAGACCACTTTATAAGACTAAAAAATAAAGCGTCATATCTAAAGGGGTTGTAGTAATAAGTTTATAGGTCGTTTTTAGGCGTCCTAACAATTTTGTTAGGAAACTCTTATGAAGAAAACAAAAAAACGTCATATTAGTTATTTTATAGGACACTATTTGAATAAGTGTCATATACAAAGAGATGAGTTTATAGGAAACTTTCTCAAAAGTGTCCGATAAAATAGCTAATGCGACACTTTGTATTAAAAGTATTCTAAAAATCTTGTTAAGACGACCAAAAATGTCTTATAAACTTATTACAACACCTTTCACTACAACAAAATTGGTTTTATAGGACACCCTCAATCTTTTAAGTGTTCCAATAGACCAATTTATAGGACTTAATTTATAGTACCAAAATATAAAGCATCCTATCTAAATGTGTTGCAATAAGTTTATATGACGCTTTTGAACGTCTTAACAAGTTTTTTATGACATTTTTAATACAAAGTGTTGCATTAGCAACTTTATATGACACTTTTGAGAAAGTGTCCTATAAACTCAATTTTTTATAAGACATTTGTTTTTATAGGACAGTTCTTCAAATAGTGTCCTATAAAGTTGCTAATAAGACGTTTTATATTAAAAGTGTCATAAAAAACTTATTACGACGTCAAAAAGCGTCATAGAAACTTATTACAACGCCTTTAGATAGGACGCTTTATTTTTTTGGACCTATAAACTAAGTCTTATAAAGAGGTCTATTAGGACACTTAGAAATTGGGAATATCCTATAAACCCAATTATGTTGTAGTGTTTAAATAAGACGTTTTATTATTTTGTCCCATAAATTATGTCGTATAAAGTGGTCGACGCTCGATTATTTATTCGTAGCATCCTATAAAACTAATATTGTAGTGTACTAACGTATCTGTATCCATCTCAGGATATATTTGGTGGAGGAACAGAAACTTCAGCAGTAACTATCGAATGGGCTTTATCGGAACTGATCAACCATCCCAACATATTGAAAAAGGCAGTCGAAGAAATCGACCAAATCGTTGGTAAATCCCGGCTTTTACAAGAATCAGACGTACCAAACCTTCCGTACCTCCAAGCCATCGTCAAAGAATCGCTACGGCTGCACCCTTCAGCCCCAGTGATTCAACGACTATCGACACAAGATTGCACCGTCGGAGGTTATCATATTCCAGCAAAGACTACAGTTTTCTTCAGTATATGGAGTGTTGGCCGTGACCCAACCCATTGGGAAAACCCATTGGAGTTCAGACCTGAAAGGTTCATAGAGAAACACTTGGATGTTAGAGGACAGCATTTCCATTTCTTACCATTTGGAAGTGGGAGGAGGATGTGTCCAGGGGTTTCGCTGGGGTTGATGGTGATTCATGTGACACTTGGTTCAATGATCCAATGTTTCGATTGGATGGCTCGCAAAGATGGGGATCTAACTAGTCTTGATATGGAAGAAGGTGTCGGGATCACGATGCCGAGGGCTAACCCTTTGGTTTGTGTGCCGGTTGCTCGACTTGATCCCATCCCTTTTTCTACCGCTACAACAAAATCGGGTTTATAGGACATCAAAGAAGACCAAAAAATCGAGTGTCCTGCTTAATGCGTTGTAATGAGTTTACAGGATGTTTTTTTGGCGTCTTAACAAATTTTTTGGAATACTTTTAATATAAAGCGTCTCATTAACAATTTTGCAAGACACTATTTGAAAATGTGTCTTATAAAAAGATGAGTTTACGGGACACTTTTTTAAAAGCGTCTTATAAAATTGCTAATGTGACGTTTTGTATTAAAACATTCTAAAAACCTTGTTGAGACATCTAAAAGCATTCTATAAACTTATTACAAAACATTTAGTTATGACTCTTTAATTTTTGGTCTTACAAATTAAGTATTATAAAATGGTCTGTTAGGACACTTAAAAATTAATGATGTCCTATAAACCCAGTTTTGTTGTAGTGTACATAATATGTCCCATCCTCTTGTCTACGTAATTTATCCAGTTTGCTCAACGAGAATTTTCAAGGCTTCCCTGTGTCAAAGAGGAAGAATTTGGAAGGCGGTATTGTGGTCAACGTTTTATATGTTATGGAATCAAATTGTTTTTTCCTAAGGAGAACCATTCTCGCCATCTTGATTTGGTCTTTGAAATTCAGTTAGCATCGTTTACGTGGATCTCTACGAGGTTCGAAAACTTTCAAATATCTGGCTTTGGTCTTGGTTCCGCTTCTTGCAGACCATCTTCTGGTTCTTGATTTGTTGTTTATTTCCTTTAAATTATGTATTTTATATTATATGTCTAAAAGATGTTGAATCAGTACAACAAAGTTAGGTTTATAGGACACCATCAATTTCTAAACATTCTAATAGACCGTTTTATAAGGTTTCATTTTTTGTGCCAAAATATAATGTGTCTTATTTAAAGGCGTTGTAATAAGTTGATAGGACGCTTTCAGACATCATAACAAGTTTTTTATTACACTTTTAATACAAAGCGTCGTGCAACTTGAAACTCGTTCAACCCATAAACACGTGCAATCCCATCTCCAACTGAGACCACTCAACCAATCTCATCCACTTGCAATCCCATCTTCACTGTTAAATCTAAATTAAATTATAATAAAAAATTGAATTAAATAAATTACACAAAAAAAAACTTTTAAATATTTAATTTGATACTAAAATCGATATCTTTTTTTTAATTTATTATACCTTCAAATATATGTTATATTCAAAAAATAAAAAACATTATCTTTTTTTCAGTACCACATAAAATCGTATTATAATATCGATAGTTAATAACATGAAACATTAAAATCAAGATGTATCTCGCTGCATTGTGCGAATACTATTCTAGTGTGTGTGTGTGTATATATATATATATATATATATATATA